CTAAATTTCAGCTAAATGCTTTGATTGTGGCTGCATAAATGCTTGGGAAGGGCTGAGAACAAGCTGCCAGAGTTGAGTAAGGACTGCAGCTTTTGTTGGCAGCTTGCCATTGGTCTGAGGTAAAGCATCACTCTTAATCCTGCATAAATGCCAGCAGCTGCCAAAAGATTTCTTGTACAACAGACTGAACCTTTAGCATCGTGATTAAAGTAGAAAATCTGGAAGCTGCTGCTGGATGTTGAGAGAAGAGTGGGATCCCACCTTTGTGCTGTAATGTAAAGCTATACTCTTAAATGCAGTTGTTGCTGTTTGAAGATGAAGTAATGTACCTGTTCACTTTTAAAAACTGATGATAATCATATTTGTTTTTTGTTGTTTTTCTCCCCTTCCTCCCAGATAAAATGAAAGATGGTATCATAGCTAAACTAGCTAACCAAGCTGCAGATTACTATGGTGATGCTTACAAACAGTGTCAATATAAAGATACTTTGCCCAAGGTTAGTAACTCTCATGGAAATAATCTGGGATCTGCTCTTACTGTGAATAACTCTTATTGTTTACAATGTACTGGATAAAATAAACTTAAAATGTATCAAGAATAGCTGACATATTGCTACATCTAAGGGAAATGAACCTGTAATTTGGAAAAACAGTGAAGAATCTAGGAGGCAAAAGATAAGATTTTACTTATTTAAAAAAAAAACCACTACTACATGAAGTGTGTTTACTTGCAAGGCATATCATTTAAGTGTACTTGAAATGTTCATGGTAGCATTTAGTGATGCCTTCTTCGTACTTAATGCCTTACTAAATCTGTTTCTCAAACTAACACTTTCTAATGGGGCTTAATGGGCTTCTAGTCTCAATGTTTTCATGTGAAATTTGCTCTCGTATTGACAGCATGAATACAGTGGTACTGTTCACTTACTTACCTGTTAATGAAGAACATGACTGGAAGTCAGTGTATGTCCTCTGTCCTTGTGCCTGCCTTCTCTTCTTCCTCCACCCCACAACAATCTTGATACTTGTAAATTATCTCAGTTTAGTCTTGGCTGTTTATTTGAATGCTGTTGGTTTTGGAAGATGGAGAAGGATCTTTTTTCATTCTCTCTGAATGTAAACTGTGTTTCAGGTACTTAAAAAATAAGCAGGTTTTGAATGTATTAAGTATATCAATTCTGTTCAAATCATAAAATAGTAGAAAATCTTTTGTGCAGTGTTATAAATGTAAAAGTTGGATAAGACTTACTGTTGATGTTGTTGGACTCTTGAAATTTATATCTAGCTAAGTAGGAGATTGTCTTCCGTAGTGCTACTTTTGCGAATGTCCTTGGGAAGCATCCCTTGTTGCTAATTTGCATTTATTTTTCATTCATTAGTAGCTTCAAAACTCTAAAATACTATTAAAGCCTGCAGTGGTCTTTCTTATGACAAATAAAATGTGAAATACACTAGATTTACTAAAAATACTCTAGAAAATGTGCTAAAAATGTTTTTACGAGTGATATATGGAAGTGGTTGATGTTTAATCCTCTAATTTGATACGCAGTCTTAGTCAAATAATTGCCAAAGTATTTGCTGTAAAGGTACTTTTATTCCCTTGGGTGGGGGGAGAAATCAGGTCATGTTTTTTCCCTCCTCTGGTTTCTAATACAGAATATAATCTTGATGATGATAGCAATTGTATGGGTAAGGGCTACTGCACTAAAGTAAGCATTTTTAACTTTAAGCAATTAATTACACAAATGCCTTTGTAGGCCAGTCAGTGGCTTATATATGTATTTTTGGAAGAAAAAAAAAATTTTTAAAGTTAAATTGATACCTTGCTTGGCTATGTAGGTAGGCACATATTTCCTCTCACGCATTCTGTGGCTTTTTACACATTGGGCCCATTTCTCACTTAGCTATTATGTTTATGATGGATTTCTGAGAGGCAATGAGATAGAATAAAGCCATTGCTTTGTCTCTTGTTGCTGTGGACCTTTCTAAAGCATAGATCTGCTCCCTGTTCCAGTTGCACAGTCATCTGTCAATAATATAATAAGAATATATCAAGAATATGTCAAGAATATAATAAGGTTTGCTGGTTCCATGAGTTAACACCAGCTCTGAGAACAGTTACATGTTTAGGAGTGTGAAATAGAGATTGCATTGATGTGTCAGACTCCAGTTGCAAGGCCTCTCAGACAGTTTTTTCTTCCAAATTTACTGTCTTTTTAAATTTTTTAATCTCTGTGGGGCAGCAAGTTTGCACAAATGTGAAGAAGCAGGTCTTTATAAACTGAGGTCTTTAAATCACCACTCTGGTTTTCCAGTGCTACTTGATTTAAGAAATAGTAAGGCCAAATCCTTGATCAAAGACCATGCCTATACTGTGGGCTGCAGCATAATGTTTTCTTCATGTCTTGGTACTCCTGCAAAGATAAGTGCATTTATATAAAAGTCTAAAAATGACTTTTACATCTTTTAAATTGCTTTCCATGTCAATAGTTATTGGTCCTTTTTATTTGTTCTTTGCTTTCATCATTTGAGAGTTATTTTCGTGATAGGCCTGCTGCTGTGTTAAGTGTAATTACTTTGTTAAAGTAAAAAAAAAAAGGGGGGGGGGGGGCCTGTCTTCTTCCTTCCCTGTCTTTTAAGAATATTTTGTCTTGACTTTGTCTTGGGGGCATTTGAGTGTGTTCTTGCAACTATCCTTTCTAATATATGCATGCATTTCTAATCTTTGAAGTAAATGTAGTGGCTTCATGGCTTGAATTTAAATTGTAGTTCATCTCAAATAATGGACACTAAGAATTTTGCAACACCAGATTCAAAAAAGAAAGACTGGGTTCAATCCATGCAAAGTCATGTGGTCTCTGACATTTACCTCTAATGTTTTAACCATTAATTGGGTGATTCTAATTTCCTTTTCTTCTTCCTTTTTCTTCCTGCATCCCATGTTGTCTGTGGTGGTTAATGTGGTTGGACTTTCCCCTGGTCAGTATTTTTATTTCCAGGAGGTGTTTCCTGTTCTGGCTGCAAAGCACTGCATTATGCAGGCCAATGCAGAATATCATCAATCTATCCTGGCGAAACAGCAGAAGAAATTTGGTGAAGAAATTGGGAGATTGCAGGTGAGTGATTTTTTTTCTTCTCTGAAAAATATGGGAAAACTTTAAGTCCTGAAAAGCTAGCTCAGAGTTCTAAAATTCAAATAACTAAGAATGAAATGTATTCAAAAATTACAGAGTATGTTTATCACATGAATCAAATTATTAGCATCTGCAAAGGTGAGAGGTATATCTGTAGCTTTTATAAAGATGTATTTTAATGGTTTTTTGGGCAGTTTGACACTGCTTGACATATTAAGTCTGTATCTTTAAGTTTGGATAGGCTTCTTGTCTCAGTATAGCTAATATAACAGATTTGTTAATAAATTTTCCTAAGTGATGTTACAAAAAAAACCAAACACCCAAAACATTAAAATTCTGCCTGGTCTATACCAAACTCCTTTCCTGCAATCCTGATTCAAATCAGAATCATTTTTTAAAAATGCACACACAGTTGTATTTTTAGTCTTTATAGTTTTTTGCCTCTATTTCTGGTTTGTAGAGGGACTTGGATATAGATGTTGTAATGCATAAGGTCATCTCATGTTTTAAGTAAGGTAGGGAAAAATGGCTAAAAAGAACTACTACTTTCTTCAAGTCCCCTGGTCTTTGGGGGAGGTGGGGGAAAAAAAAGTGTTGCTTTGACTGACTTTGTAGGACCCATGTGCAGTATCTATTGATACGCAGGAGAGTTGAGAGACTTACATAAGACTGTGATGTTGACATTTTGAAAGTACCATTATGCATTTATTGACCTGGAGCAGGATGGGCCTTGGAACCTTTTTTAGTATGCTTGCCTGACAGTGAAGTGCCTGTATGAACTTCTAGTAGCAAGTTGTTACATTATGACTACCTTACTAGCTGATAGATGAAGGTGGATCTGTTGCTTATTCTTGAGTTTCAAATCTGCCTAGCGGACCTCCTTTTCTAGGACTTGACAGTAATATCAATGTGTCTTTTTTTTTTTTCTTTAATTTTTTTTTTTAGTGCTCATCCTTGAGAGGTCTGGCTATTATCAAATTTGCTATTGTTGTTAAGTTGTATATTAAATTACCTTATGTCCATGATTTTTCTTCATGTTGTGTTACAGGAAGTATCCCTTCATGCTGAGTAGTTAAAGTTTTGGTGGTGGTGTGGCTTTTTTTTGTGAAGTCTGAGGGGAAATACTCCATTACTAATTATTTTAGCACTGATTCATGAACAGCATGTAGTCAGAAGTTAAAATCCTGTGTCGTCTTATTTAATACATTTAGTAAGATGAAAAATCCTTTTTTCCATAACTATTAAAATACTGCTTCTATAATTAATCTAAATTAGAGATTTAGTATCCTTTTTGATGAGTTATTGAAAAATGCAGTTGCTATAAAGTAATATTCTCTTTTTATTTCCCTTTTTGAAGGCTAGAACAAAGATGGATTAAATCAGTGCAGGAAGATTAATATAAATTCTTTCAAATTAAAGATATATATGCACCCCCCTGTTTCTTTCATCATTTTCTGTTTCTGGTAAATGCTAGTTAGACTAGTGTTGTATCCAACCAAAGCTACTCTTCTGTAATTTATGGCACAAAGGAAGGTGGCAAAAGATCTCAGCAAATTTCAAATATACTTCACTTCTAACGTAGCTCAGGTTCCACTTCACAATCCCAAGAAGTCTGAGTTTTTGACTTGTGAGTTTATGTAAGCGTTCACTGACAACATTGCTTCTTAGTGTTTTGTTTTTACACACTCAAAACACAAATGTGATCAGGATTGAACAGATACAATCAAAGGACAATGTTTTGCCTTGCATCTCTCCTGCAATAAATTGGATTTATCCAATTTATCTGGAAAACCAGATACCTCAGGGTTGCATCTAGGCTTACCAGACGGAAATGAAGAGACAGCAAACCTTGTATTTTATTTTAATTTGCAGTAGGATTCCATAATTCCTGTAGCTTCTGAGCTCCAGTTTAGACGGGTGTTGGTGGCAGATGTGAAAAGCAGGACTCTGGCCTCTTCCTTCATGAATGTGAGCAAGGTTTGAGAAACAATTTGGAGTACCTGCAAAAGCAAGCTGTAGGTTTCATGAAACAATATGAAAATGACATGATGGCTATTTTCTTTTGTGAATGGGTATTAGAAGCATTATTGCCTCTAACTCATGTTCACTTCTTTCGGATTTTGGGGAATCATAATTTCAACTATTGTGAGATAGTAACTTAGTTACTGTTTGGTGGTTCC